TATTTATTTTATTACTATGAAGGAGAAGTGACCCAAAATATAAAAGTTAGACGCCTTTACAAAGCTCTGAATGTTAATGAGCTAGGCTGAATAACAGAAATGAAAATACACTCAAAAGGACAGCAGGCTGCAAATATTAAAACCACTGTAAAACAGAAAAACACAAAACCCTCAATATCTTAAACAAAACTTTAATCATTTAAAAACCTGTTAAAAACTTGCTACCTGTGCGTCGCAACCCCCACACACACAGCTCCACACAGATATTTATTTGCCCAATGGCAAACAGCACGGCCTCCCTACCACAGAACAAACAATTCATTTCATCACCATAATACTGCATAAACTATTTTAAAAGCTCACCGTAACTTTGGCCAAACACGCAAACACACATGGGCCCAGCAAACACACATGGGCCCAGCAAACACACATGGGCCCAGCAAACACACACATGGGCCCAGCAAACACACATGGGCCCAGCAAACACACATGGGCCCAGCACACACACATGGGCCCAGCAAACACACATGGGCCCAGCAAACACACATGGGCCCAGCACACACACATGGGCCCAGCAAACACACATGGGCCCAGCAAACACACATGGGCCCAGCACACACACATGGGCCCAGCAAACACACATGGGCCCAGCACACACACATGGGCCCAGCAAACACACATGGGCCCAGCAAACACACATGGGCCCAGCACACACACATGGGCCCAGCAAACACACATGGGCCCAGCACACACACATGGGCCCAGCAAACACACATGGGCCCAGCACACACACATGGGCCCAACAAACACTCTGGCCGCCCACGGAAACTGGCACCTGTCTGGCACGTAGCCAACTTCCTATTTTAAGGCTGACACCAGTGACACCCACTGGTGACACCCACTGGTGACACCCACTGGTGACACCCACTGGTGACACCCGTTACAAACTGCAATTGACTACGACATTATTGTGATTAATTGCGTTTGAAGCACTAATATTATCAATGATTATAAGGAAACTTCATTCCAAGGCCCTTTTGTGTTTTCTTGTATTTTTACCCCAAACATTTGAATACAAAACTCTGATCTAGTTCTTGCCATGAGGCCAGGAGCGAGTCGAGAAGTGTTTGTCTGAAGTCTGTTCTTATAAAATAACTTCAGTGGGAGCGTCCTGTTGGAGATCCACACATGGTCTGCATTCAGATAACCACAGTTTGATATTTTCTCTGTTTCTTTTGGTTGGTTTTTGCACGACTCTGTCTCTCCCCGGGAGGCTCTGACCTCAGCCGCTGAAGCATGAATACTTCTATTGAGACACGCAGAAACATAACAAGGATTTCTGCAGCAAAGTGTCATTTTTCAGCCTGGACAGTGATCTATGGACACGCCTCCTCTGACTCTGGACACGCCTCCTGACTCTGGACACGCCTCCTTTTTGTCAGGACACACCTCCTCTGACACTGGACACGCCCCCTCTGACTCTGGACACGCCTCCTTTTTGTCAGGACACACCTCCTCTGACTCTGGACACGCCTCCTCTGACACTGGACATGCCTCCTCTCTAGACACGCCTCCTCTGACCCTGGACACGCCTCCTCTGACTCTGGACACGCCTTCTCGGGCACTGGACACGCCTCCTCTGACACTGGACACACCTGCTCTGACTCTGGACACGCCTCCTCTGACTCTAGACATGCCTCCTCTGACTCTGGACACGCCTCCTCTGACTCTGGACACGCCTCCTCTGACTCTGGACATGCCTCCTCTGACTCTGGACACACCTTCTCGGGCACTGGACACGCCTCCTCTGACTCTGGACACGCCTCCTGACTCTGGACACGCCTCCTTTGACACCGGACACGCCTCTTCTGACTCTGGACACGCCTCTTCTGACTCTGGACTGTGTTGATCTAAGAGAGAGTGGAGGGCAGCAGGTCAATGTACAGCCTGTACTTCACACCAGAGAGAGAGACCAGAGAGAGACCAGAGAGAGACCAGAGAGAGACCAGAGAAAGACCAGCGAAAGACCAGAAAGAGACCAGAGAAAGACCAGAGAAAGACCAGACCAGAGAAAGACCAGAGAAAGACCAGAAAGAGACCAGAGAAAGACCAGAGAGAGACCAGAGAAAGACCAGAGAGAGACCAGAGAGAGACCAGAGAGAGACCAGAGAGAGACCAGAGAGAAACCAGAGAGAGACCAGAGAAAGACCAGAGAAAGACCAGAAAGAGACCAGAGAAAGACCAGAGAGAGACCAGAGTGAGACCAGAGAGAGACCAGAGAGAGAGACCAGAGAAAGATCAGAGAGAGACCAGAGAGAGATCAGAGAGAGACCAGAGAGAGACCAGAGAGACCAGAGAGAGACCAGAGAAAGACCAGAGAAAGACCAGAAAGAGACCAGAGAAAGACCAGAGAGAGACCAGAGTGAGACCAGAGAGAGATCAGAGAAAGACCAGAGAGAGACCAGAGAGAGACCAGAGAAAGATCTGAGAGAGATCAGAGAGAGACCAGAGAGAGATCAGAGAGAGACCAGAGAGAGACCAGAGAGAAACCAGAGAGAGACCAGAGAAAGACCAGAGAAAGACCAGAAAGAGACCAGAGAAAGACCAGAGACAGACCAGAGTGAGACCAGAGAGAGATCAGAGAAAGACCAGAGAGAGACCAGAGAGAGAGAGACCAGAGAGAGACCAGAGAGAGGGACCAGAGAGAGACCAGAGAGAGATCAGAGAGAGACCAGAGAGAGGGACCAGAGAGAGACCAGAGACAGACCAGAGTGAGACCAGAGAGAGATCAGAGAAAGACCAGAGAGAGACCAGAGAGAGACCAGAGAAAGATCAGAGAGAGATCAGAGAGAGACCAGAGAGAGACCAGAGAGAGACCAGAGAGAGACCAGAGAAAGATCAGAGAGAGATCAGAGAGAGACCAGAGAGAGATCAGAGAGAGACCAGAGAGAGATCAGAGAGAGACCAGAGAAAGATCAGAGAGAGATCAGAGAGAGACCAGAGAGAGATCAGAGAGGGACCAGAGAGAGACCAGAGACAGACCAGAGAGAGACCAGAGAGAGACCAGAGAAAGATCAGAGAGAGATCAGAGAGAGACCAGAGAGAGATCAGAGAGAGACCAGAGAGAGATCAGAGAGAGACCAGAGAGAGACCAGAGAAAGACCAGAGAAAGACCAGAAAGAGAACAGAGAGAGATCAGAAAGATCAGATTCAGATTCAGATTCATTTATTTGCCATTTGCAGAGAGACCAGAGAAAGACCAGAGAGAGACCAGAGAGAGATCAGAGAGAGACCAGAGAGAGACCAGAAAGAGACCAGAGAGAGATCAGAGAGAGATCAGAGAGAGACCAGAGAGAGATCAGAGAGAGACCAGAGAGGGACCAGAGAGAGACCAGAGAAAGACCAGAGAAAGACCAGAGAGAGACCAGAGAGAGAGACCAGAGAGAGACCAGAGAGAAAGACCAGAGAGAGACCAGAGAAAGACCAGAGAGAGACCAGAGAAAGACCAGAGAGGGACCAGAGTTTCAGCCTCGATACGCTTGTAAATTTAGTCTGAGGCTAATTCTGAAACAATTAGCAAGTGAACGGTATGAGGCAGAGGTCGGAGGTCGTCTCAATCACAGTCCACCTGCTGCACAGTCTGTGTAAGCACGTAGCACCTGAAACCCTGCGGACGTGGGTGATTTTACAAAGTTTGGATGCATTGGTCCAGAAATGATCATAAATGTCCCGGAGTCGTCACTGTCCTTAGACCCAGCTGCGTCAGAGGGAACCGTGAAAAATAAAACAAATAAAATGCATCTAGTTTCAGTCTGAAACATCTGTAATGGAAAGTTTTATTTGTGTTATTTGGATCTCCATCTGCTCCGTGGGTAACGTTGTATCACTGCGGTTATGTACGTTTGGTTCTTCACAAAACGGTTGAGCATGAGAGAGGTCGGTCTGAGGAGTGTGTGTGCGTGTGTGTGTTTGTACCTATGTGTAAGAGTGTGTATTTGTGTTTGTGTGTGTACCTATGTGTACGAGTATGTATTTGTGTTTGTGTGTATACCTATGTGTGTGTGTACTGTATGCTTGTGTGTGTGCGTGTGTATGTCTATGTGTATGTGTGTGTCTGTGTTACCCATATGTACGTTTGTGTGTATACCTGTGTGTTTGTAGACCTACTATATGTGTATGTGTGTGTCTGTGTTACCTACATGTACGTGTGTATGTATACTTGTGTGTGTAGACCTATGTGTATGTATATCTCCAGTATCTGTACGTGTGTATGTGAGTGGACCTAAGTGTATGTATACTTACGTGTACGTTTGTGTATACCCGTGTGTGTGAGTGGACCTAAGTGTATGTATACTTACGTGTACGTTTGTGTATACCCGTGTGTGTGTGTAGACCTATGTGTATGTGTGTGTCTGTTACCTATATGTACATGTGTGTGTATACCTATGTGTACGTGTGTGTGTGTACGTGTGTATTCCTATATGTACGTGTGTGTGTGTATGTGTGTTTTTCTATATGTGTGTGTGTGTGTGTGTGTATTGATATACAGTACGTGGATCCCTTTTAGCTTCCTCAAGCGGTCGCTGGTCTTTCCAGGTCCACTCCACATTCAAACAGACAGTATAAAAAGAGATTGCAACACAAAATCATTCATATGTGTGTGTGTGTGTGTCTGTACATATATATGTGTGTGTGTGTGTTTGTGCATGTACATGTGCGTATGTGTGTGTGTGAGTGTGTGTGTTTAAATACTGTAATCTCCGGACTATGAGCTACTTTTTCCTAATTTTTTAGTAGATTTGTCAGAGCAGAGGTTATGGACTTGTGGATAATGTGTGTGTGTGTGTGTGTGTTTGTGTGTATATGTATGTGTCTGTGTCTGTGTGTGTGTGTATATATGTGTGTGTGTCTCTGAGGGGAAAGAGCCTGCTTCATTTGGACGTGTTAAATGGTGCAGCAGGTGAGGATTGGTTTAAGTGGTTTTAGTGAGTCTATAATTAAAGCAGCTCAGAGACTTCAGAGCATCAATAATAATGATTTTAACTCAGGCCGTCTCTGTTCTACCATTATCAGAAGATGGATCAGAAAAGGCATAATGCTCGAGCATGGACTCTCTCCGTGTCGACAAATGTAACACGATAAAAGCAATTATCAGTTTCACAGATTTAATTAATTAGATAAAGTTGACTTGGTCCTTCTGTGTCATATCTGCTCCACTTCCCAGACAGGAAGTAGCATAATGAGCACAGACTGTGTACACTGTGCTCAATGCTACAATGCTAACATGCTAAGTCACCGTTTGAGTCACACTCACCATTTTGGGATTAGAAAATCTGTGGTGTGTTGCTCTCTGTGATCCTGATGTCTATGTTGTGTTACTGTCTTTGTAAGTCCAGGTAAGAGCCAAATAAGGACTGACTACATCTTGCCTTGGCAACCACCTTAGCAACACGTCTGCCTGTGTTACAAATGCCCATATAAGGAAATTGGCTCCAGCTTATGTTCAAATCGGCCTCTTCCGCATTAAGACTAACACTGTGGTGATGTCACACTTGCTCAGTCCACTTCTAATATCCAGTGGCAACATGGATCTATAATAATAACTGGATAGGGTATAACTAGCTTAAAGCTGTCCCACCCATGGACACAGGGGGCGCTGTGGTACTGCAGACTAAATTCACGAGGGCTACCCAGAAAAACGTCCCATAGAACTCTATGTAAACTAAAACAGCTCAACCTCAGCTGACAGAGAACCTGAGAGAGAACCTGAGAGAGAACCTGACAGAGAACCTGACAGAGAACCTGACAGAGAACCTGACAGAGAACCTGAGAGAGAACCTGAGAGAGAACCTGACAGAGAACCTGACAGAGAACCTGATAGAAAACCTGACAGAGAACCTGACAGAGAACCTGACAGAGAACCTGATAGAAAACCTGACAGAGAACCTGACAGAGAACCTGACAGAGAACCTGACGGAGAACCTGACAGAGAACCTGACAGAGAACCTGACAGAGAACCTGACAGAGAACCTACAGCTTTCCTAAAGATCAGATTTTGTGGGGATTTTAGTGTCCCTTGCCGTCCTGAACTTTTTTCTTCTTAAATCCTTCGGTTTTCTTTAAATCCACACTTTACTGCCACAAACTCTGCTCCCTGCCTTCCCGCTCTGATCAGCAGCCCTGATTGGTCAGAGCGCGGCCGAGCCCTTCTGTGCATGAGACACGCGTATTTTCCCGGTTCTCCGTGAAGTCCCATGCGCTACTGAGCACAAGCCATTCATTTGAATAGGACAACATCCTGGATCACCGGGGCTTGAGTGGGAGGTGTTGTCCATGATGGAGGGGACTATGACTAGCACCTCCTGTCCTCCACAGAGTCCAGGGGCCTCCTGTCCCTCACCTCCTCCACAGAGTCCAGGGGCCTCCTGTCCCTCACCTCCTCCACAGAGTCCAGGGGCCTCCTGTCCCTCACCTCCTCCACAGAGTCCAGGGGCCTCCTGTCCCTCACCTCCTCCACAGAGTCCAGGGGGCCAGTGGAGCTGGCCCCCTGACGAGCTTGTTCACTGTGTTCCGCTAAGTACGTTAAGTACATGTTTGTTTCAAATTTTAAGGCACATTGTGCGGCAAATATTTGTATTTCTGATGTGATAGAGTTGGCTGTTGTCAGAGCAGAGTTTATGGACATTTGACATAATCAAGTGGATATGCTAACATGCTAATAACTTCTTCCACACGCTGCAATAAGTTTGAACAAATCACTTCAATGATCTAACATTTGTATTGAAGCTGTTTTTGTTGATTGATTTCACGGTGACAGTTTCTTCTTGTCCTTTTTCGCTTGTTTTAGCACGTGTATTCCAATGTGGTTTTACTGCAAAGGGGCAATAATCTGAATCTGAATATCTTCCTGTCCAACTTCTTGAGCGCCCGATCTCTCTTCGGTGTCAGCAGCCGCTCCACACAGTTAATTGTCTCACTACATTAAGTACAAATGGCTTATCTCTGGATTACAGCCCTATAGACAAATGTGTGCTGGGGGGGGGGGGCTGAAGTTTGGGTTTGTTGTGCCGTGTTTTATGACTTAGATCAGGTTTCCGACTCGTGAAGCTTTGAATGTCGTGAAGCGAACGGTGTGTTGTGGAGCATTGAGAATGCACCGGGAGAGTCTCAAGTCACTGTTCTTTGTGAATGTAGAGAAAAAACACCTCTGATCGCTCACTTGACGATGTCCATGGATTATTATTGTTTCAGAGGATGTGAAGTTGGCCTCGTACCAAAGTACATCTGTGACATGTTCCATTCGAGCCAATTCAGACTCTGACTCTCAGCCGTCTTCTACCAGAAAGAAATACACTTCTAGGTGACTACTACCCTGGTCTTACCACACCATGGTACTCATTTCATTTCGTACTAAAGTCTGGATTTGCTCCATTGACTCTGTTAACAGGTGGGAGGGGCTAACTTCTTAGGTAGAATGAAACGATTGGATCTGAGTTTACCGCCATGTATGTAATGAGCCCGAGTGAGCGAGGCATTTAGCATTTAGCCTAGCTTTAGCCATCTCCTTTGCCACTAACGGAGCCCGTGGGGAGTAGAGCCACAACATCTTTGCTTCAATGACATTTACTAAACATTCCTCTTGCTCCGGCTTCAGTTTCTTGATATTTGGATTGAACCAGAACAGATTATTTTACTATCGCATTCTCCGACAAACTACAACCAGCAAATTCAGCACAAACTCTTGACGTCAGCGACACCGACCTACAACACCCGCCTCCCCCGCTCTCTGATTGGTCAGAGGGGATTCAACCGAGGAAACTGCAGACACTGGGACTAGACCCAGACGGTACATGCAGGGACATGCTAATGGGACAGAGGTCATGGATATAAGAGGCTAAGGCTGGGTGACTGTTTATACTTAACATGTTAGTTAAAATGACCTGCAGCACAAACCGCTGGGCTACAGGTCAAACCGCTGGGTCAAACCGCTGGGCTGGGTACAGGTCAAACCGCTGGCTACAGGTCAAACCGCTGGGCTCAAACAGGTCAAACCGCTGGGCTCAAACCGCTGGGCTACAGTGGTCAAGGTCAAACCGCTGGGCTACAGGTCAAACCGCTGGGCTACAGGTCAAACCGCTGGGCTACAGGTCAAAACCGCTGGGCTACAGCACGGTCAAACCGCTGGGCTACAGGTCAAACCGCTGGGCTACAGGTCAAACCGCTGGTCAACAGGCAACCGCTGGGCTACAGTCAAACCGCTGGGTACAGCAAACGCTGGGCTACAGGTCAAACCGCTGGGCTACAGGTCAAACCGCTGGGCTACAGGTCAAACCGCTGGGTCAAACCGCTGGGCTACAGGTCAAACCGCTGGGCTACAGGTCAAACCGCTGGGCTACAGGTCAAACCGCTGGGTCAAACCGCTGGGCTACAGGTCAAACCGCTGGGCTACAGGTCAAACCGCTGGGCTACAGGTCAAACCGCTGGGCTACAGGTCAAACCGCTGGGCTACAGGTCATGAACACAGAATACTGTCTCTACAGTGTCTCGGCTTCTCACTCAAGTTTCCTCATATTTTGTGTTACATAGTTTTGTTTTATTTTTTGCTGTGATTGATCTTTGTTGTCCTCTATCTCTTTTTGCAAATGAAGCAAAATTAAGCATTTTTGCTCCATTTGTGGAGACAAAATACACACATTTTAAGGGAAATACAATAATAGAGAATAGAGAACTCAGTGCATTCTGTCCTGCAGTATGAGGTCATGCTGCAGGACCGTTACGACCAAGATCCTGGTGGTCCTACTGCAGACCAGAGACCGGGTGCCTCTGTAGTAGTAGTAAGTAGTAATATTTATTTATATACCGCCTTTTCACTGCAGATCTGCGTCTCAAAGCGGTTTACAATTGTTAATTATGGGCATTTATCTCTCACTCCACACAGAGATGGGAGGGGCCAGTACAGGAGGCGCATGCCAGAACTATTGGACATATTTTTTTAGTGGTAGGGGAAACCGGAGTACCCGGAGGAAACCTACGCAGACACGGGGAGAACATGCAAACTCCACTCAGAAAGGCCCTGGTCCGACTGGGATTCGAACCCAGGACCTTCTTGCTGAGAGGCGAGAGTGCTATCCACTCAGCCACCGTGCCGCCCGGTCTGCTGTAGGACCACCAGGATCTTGGTTTGTAACGGTTACACCAGACCTGGGAAAACTGCAGCCTGGGGGCCACATGCGGCCCATTTCAAGTTTCTTTGCGGCCTCTGAACCCTTTCCAGCCTTCGACCTCATACTGCAGGACCGAATACACTGCAGAAAGTGAAAAATGTAAATGTATCTTAACTTGAGCACATTCTGACTGAGCCTCAAAACAATATTTACCAGTGGGATAAAGCAAAAATAATCTTCTTTTAAAGTGATACAATAAATGTCTCCTTTGGAAAGAGAAAACAAAGCAACTGTTCTTGAAATTAGATTGAATGGATTTGTCCCTTTGGAGAATCTAGTTTTAACACAGTCAGAATCTGTCAGATTTAGATAAAAAACCCTCGATTCACGACATGATGACCTCATATTTTATCATTTGTTTGCAGTGTGGGAGTCGATACCCAAGAAATGTTTGTAACTGGATGTGTTCTACTGCGGCCAAAACGTCAAAAACATTCATCTTTTGGTCCAGTTTGGTTCACAGAGAATATCAAATGACGACGTGACAATATTCCCACGTTGCCGCTGGTAGAAAACATTGCCCCAGCCCTGGTTTGGACTGACGCTGGTCTCAGGAGCTTGATCTAATAGAACGGAGCATGTTCCGCTGCTAAACTGCTGTAATTTCATTCTTCCGCTTCTGTTTTGCAGCTTGCCTGTTCAGGTACAATGGGCTGTCGTTCGTCTACCTCGTCTACCTGCTGCTCATCCCTCTGTTCGCCGAGCCCACCGCCGTCACCATGCACGGTAAAGCTGCACTCACCGGCATGCTAACAGTGCGGGGCCAGATACACTGAAGGCTCTGTAGACAACCACTAACACATGTAGATCTGGGTGTTCCTACATAACTTTGCTGAAGTATATCACTATCTATTTACCTGAAAGAAGCTTTAAAGGGTCTTTAAGGAGATGTCTGTTACAATTAAAAATGTAATATGTTTTGAAATTAAAGAGAAAATAGTAATTCTTGACCCTGTGGATGAGGAGGAGGGTTGCTGCACGACCTGTAGGCTCTATGACAGTGCAGGGCAGTGATTAAAGGAGCAGTGTGTAAAAATGTGGCCAAAAGTGGTACTGCAGCCTCTCCCACTGTCCCTGACTCAGGTTGCCAGATATGCAGACGAATCCAGCTGGGACCATAACAGCTGAATAGACAAGAGTTTAGTCAACAACAAATCTATAACCAACACCTTTTTCACAAAGATAGAAATCCTGGTTTTATTCCTTGTTTTGTCGTTAATGATTTGAGAATCATAACGAGACCTTTTTTAGTTCTGCGCCACATGGTACTTTACCAGTGAGATTAGCTCCACGCGGTGAGCTCTGGCATTACAGACTTTCTGATTGGTGAAACGGTGGAGGGCGGGACATCGAAATGAAAACAATAACAAGATTTAAAAACTGTAAAACTAATTTAGAAATTCAAATATCTCTGAACGACTGTTATCAGTTAAAGAAGTATTGGAAAAGAACAGGTTATTATTATGACAGATTAGGGCCCTTTAATGATGACAGATTAGGGCCCTTTAATGATGACAGATTAGGGCCCTTTAATGATGACAGATTAGGGCCCTTTAATGATGACAGATTAGGGCCCTTTAATGATGACAGATTAGGGCCCTGTAATGATGACAGATTAGAGCCCTTTAATGATGACAGATTAGGGCCCTTTAATGATGACAGATTAGGGCCCTTTAATGATGACAGATTAGGGCCCTTTAATGATGACAGATTAGAGCCCTTTAATGATGACAGATTAGAGCCCTTTAATGATGACAGATTAGGGCCCTTTAATGATGACAGATTAGGGCCCTTTAATGATGACAGATTAGGGCCCTTTAATGATGACAGATTAGGGCCCTTTAATGATGACAGATTAGGGCCCTTTAATGATGACAGATTAGAGCCCTTTAATTATGACAGATTAGGGCCCTTTAATGATGACAGATTAGGGCCCTTTAATGATGACAGATTAGAGCCCTTTAATGATGACAGATTAGGGCTCTTTAATTATGACAGATTAGGGCCCTTTAATGATGACAGATTAGAGCCCTTTAATGATGACAGATTAGGGCCCTTTAATGATGACAGATTAGGGCCCTTTAATGATGACAGATTAGAGCCCTTTAATGATGACAGATTAGAGCCCTTTAATTATGACAGATTAGGGCCCTTTAATGATGACAGATTAGGGCCCTTTAATTATGACAGATAAGGGATTTTTAATGATAACAGATTAGGGCCCTTTAATGATGACAGATTAGGGCCCTTTAATGATGACAGATTAGAGCCCTTTAATTATGACAGATTAGGGATTTTTAATGATGACAGATTAGGGCCCTTTAACCCATTAAGGCCTGACCCACCTTGTAGAGCAGACCTGCAGAGGCCGACTTCAGAACCAGCTCCAAAACCTGAAGTTTTCCTGAAATTCAACGTCTACAGAATGATTGATTTCTCGGCCTCTGGAGCAGATAGAAACATAATTTCAAAAGATTTTGAGAGCTGAGACTTGTGGCTGTCAATAAGAATGGAGTATTATTATAAACCTTTAGTAGAAGAATATACAACTTCCACACAGGAAAGGTAATAAAACAACCAAAACAATGTGAGACTAACACATGTTTATCAATGCAATAAGTCAAAAAGAGTTTGGCAATGAAGTGGCACTAACTGTGGAAAAAAATATACAAAATCCACTCTCAGCCCAAAAAGTCAAATCATGACTCACAAGGCTCTTTCTAAAGTAAGCAAAATAAACTGTTTTGGTTTGTTCTGTTTGATTTGGTCACATTTTATTTTTTGCCCAAAAAACATGCATTGTCATTGCAAGCGAAAATTTATCTTTCAGTGAGTCTGCGCTTTGTCAGGAGACTTCGGGGAGACGAAGGAGAGACATGGGGGAGAGACATGGGGGAGAGACATGGGGGAGAGACAGGGAGAGAGACAGGGAGAGACATGGGGGAGAGACAGGGAGAGACATGGGGGAGAGACATGGGGGAGACATGGGGGAGAGACAGGGAGAGACAGGGAGAGACGGGGGACAGACGAGGGAGGGAGCTTGCTGCACGTGCGGGTCTCCCCCGTCTCCCCCTCGGTCCTGGTCTATGGTCTATGGTCTCGGTACATGACCCTGTGATGACCCTGTGGCTGTGCGTTCGCTGAGCTGTCAGAGCAGCCACTGTTGCGCCCGGGGTCAGAGCGGAGGATGATAATCCCGTTCGAGTACGTAACAAAAACAACTGCCCGCGGTCACGCATTTCACTGAAATGAAATTTCCGCAGATCTGCAGATAATTCTCATCACAGGTATAACTTGATACATTTCATTGGTTCAGAGAATTTATCAATGAAGAGAATAGGTCAAAAAAAGAAAAAAAGACGTGTCCGCTTTCCCGGCCTTAAAGGTAGAAGTGCTACCGGCCTCAATGGGTTAATGATGACAGATTAGGGCCCTTTAATGATGAGAGATTAGGGCCCTTTAATGATGACAGATTAGGGCCCTTTAATGATGACAGATTAGGGCCCTTTAATGATGAGAGATTAGGGCCCTTTAATGATGACAGATTAGGGTCCTTTAATGATGACAGATTAGGGCCCTTTAATAATGACAGATTAGGGCCCTTTAATGATGACAGATTAGGGCCCTTTAATGATGACAGATTAGGGCCCTTTAATGAGGACAGATTAGGGCCCTTTAATGATGACAGATTAGGGCCCTTTAATGATGACAGATTAGGGTCCTTTAATGATGACAGATTAGGGCCCTTTAATGATGACAGATTAGGGCCCTTTAATGATGACAGATTAGGGCCCTTTAATGATGACAGATTAGGGCCCTTTAATGATGACAGATTAGGGCCCTTTAATGATGACAGATTAGGGCCCTTTAATGATGACAGATTAGGGCCCTTTAATGATGACAGATTAGGGCCCTTTAATGATGACAGATTAGGGCCCTTTAATGATGACAGATTAGGGCCCTTTAATGATGACAGATTAGGGCCCTTTAATGATGACAGATTAGGGCCCTTTAATGATGACAGATTAGGGCCCTTTAATGATGACAGATTAGGGCCCTTTAATGAGGACAGATTAGGGCCCTTTAATGATGACAGATTAGGGCCCTTTACAGATTCGAACAGCCTGCCCTGCGTCTCTAGTCTCTACAGCCTGTGTCCTCTAGTCTCTACAGCCTGCGTCCTCTAGTCCTCTACAGCCTGCGTCCTCTAGTCTCTACAGCCTGTGTCCTCTAGTCTCTACAGCCTGCGTCCTCTAGTCTCTACAGCCTGCGTCCTCTAGTCTCTACAGCCTGCGTCCTCTAGCCTCTACAGCCTGTGTCCTCTAGTCTCTACAGCCTGTGTCCTCTAGTCTCTACAGCCTGTGTCCTCTAGCCTCTACAGCCTGTGTCCTCTAGTCTCTACAGCCTGCGTCCTCTAGTCTCTACAGCCTGTGTCCTCTAGCCTCTACAGCCTGTGTCCTCTAGTCTCTACAGCCTGCGTCCTCTAGTCTCTACACCTGCGTCCTCTAGTCTCGACAGCCTGTGTCCTCTAGTCTCTACAGCCTGTGTCCTCTAGTCTCTACAGCCTGTGTCCTCTAGTCTCTACAGCCTGTGTCCTCTAGTCTCTACAGTCTGTGTCCTCTAGTCTCTACAGCCTGCGTCCTCTAGCCTCTACAGCCTGCGTCCTCTAGTCTCTACAGCCTGTGTCCTCTAGTCTCTACAGCCTGTGTCCTCTAGTCTCTACAGCCTGTGTCCTCTAGTCTCTACAGCCTGTGTCCTCTAGTCTCTACAGCCTGTGTCCTCTAGTCTCTACAGCCTGCGTCCTCTAGTCTCTACAGCCTGTGTCCTCTAGTCTCTACAGCCTGTGTCCTCTAGTCTCTACAGCCTGTGTCCTCTAGTCTCTACAGTCTGTGTCCTCTAGTCTCTACAGCCTGTGTCCTCTAGTCTCTACAGCCTGTGTCCTCTAGTCTCTACAGCCTGTGTCCTCTAGTCTCTACAGCCTGTGTCCTCTAGTCTCTACAGCCTGGGTCCTCTAGTCTCTACAGCCTGTGTCCTCTAGTCTCTACAGCCTGTGTCCTCTAGTCTCTACAGCCTGTGTCCTCTAGTCTCTAGAGCCTGTGTCCTCTAGTCTCTACAGCCTGTGTCCTCTAGTCTCTACAGCCTGCGTCCTCTAGTCTCTACAGCCTGCGTCCTCTAGTCTCTACAGCCTGTGTCCTCTAGTCTCTACAGCCTGCGTCCTCTAGTCTCTACAGCCTGTGTCCTCTAGTCTCTACAGCCTGTGTCCTCTAGTCCTCTACAGCCTGTGTCCTCTAGTCTCTACAGTCCTGTGTCCTCTAGTCTCTACAGCCTGTGTCCTCTAGTCTCTACAGCCTGCGTCCTCTAGTCTCTACAGCCTGTGTCCTCTAGCCTCTACAGCCTGTGTCCTCTAGTCTCTACAGCCTGTGTCCTCTAGTCTCTACAGCCTGTGTCCTCTAGTCTCTACAGCCTGCGTCCTCTAGTCTCTACAGCCTGTGTCCTCTAGTCTCTACAGCCTGTGTCCTCTAGTCTCTAAAGCCTGTGTCCTCTAGTCTCTAAAGCCTGTGTCCTCTAGTCTCTACAGCCTGTGTCCTCTCTCCTGGGACTCTGAGAGGAGCACAGGGACTGGCCTCCTGCTGGGACTCTGAGGAGCACAGGGACTGGCCTCCTGCTGGGACTCTGAGGAGCACAGGGACTGGACTCCTGCTGGGACTCTGAGGAGCACAGGGACTGGCCTCCTGCTGGGACTCTGAGGAGCACAGGGACTGGCCTCCTGCTGGGA